TTAACTATTGGGAAAAACACATGTAACAAATGTATATTTGCTACAAATATATCTGTCAATTCCAATGAAGTCTTAACGTTATATTTTGAAGAGACTAGAAGATCAGTTAGGCGCAGATACGACGGCAGTTGAGGTGTGTCTCTTAGCAGTGTAAAAGCAATAACAGAAATAACCTTAAACATAAGTGACACATGACTGCAGGAGTGGCTTGTGGCCATCTCCTCCCCCCTCACACATGACTTTTATACTTGGTGCCTCTTTACTTTCTCTCTGGATTCTTTTGGTCGTTTGGCAGTAGATCAATATTCAGCAGCTGTATAGGTAGTGAAGTGTATAAAATTCAAATTATATATAAACAAAACTGTGTCCAACTCTTTGGGGAAATAACCCACTTGTAGCGGCTCTCACTAAAGCTGTCAATGCACTTTTTTAATATAGTGCAGATCAGATGAAGGAATGATAGCTGCTTGATGTGATTTGATAGACAAGTACCTCATAACCCAAATAAATCCCCTACATAATGCAACACCATGGTCAGCATCCCTCAGCACTTCAAGGGATGAATTATAAAACAAAGCAATGCTGTGAGGGACCACAACTAAAAACAAACATACATTTCAGCTGAGTTTTTTGTTTTATTTACTTATATCACTTAGGCCCACTCAAGTGCCTTTATGAGACATGAGCCTTTTAATAATTGTATCGCTGGCTGGGGATGTTGCTCAGTGCTTTCTATGATTTCTAACCTTAGTTATCCAAGACATTTCCTTACGCACCTAAATCCTTTAATGGAGATTCAACTGTTGTCTATCAGTGACTGTTCAAAAAATTCACACTTATGATTGTATCAAATTCTATTAGTACCATCAGTGTGTGCTGATTTGTTGCTTCTGTTAAGAGATGCACCCACCATAGCTTCACCTCCTTCATAGGGTCTTGATTTTACAATAACACAGTTTCAGTGATAACATTTATAATAGAAAGTATATGTTTCAACTGGCTAAAGGGAGCAGAGCACAATATTTGCAGTGTATTCAATACATAATGAGCGCTGTTCTTCACCAAGCCTGGAAACACGCATTCCTTATTTATTTCTCCGGCCATTTTGAATACTTACTAATAGTGTCTCTGCCTCTAATCTCTGTTCCATCTGCTCATGCATACTGTTCCCAATATGGCTCAGGAGGCAGTGTGGTGTCGTGGTTGAGAGTCTGGGTTCTGTGGCTTAACTGCCTCAGTTCAATTCTCGTGCTCCTCAGCATGTGATTTGACATTGTGCAAGTTACTTAGTATTTCTGTGCCTTACTTTCCTCATCTTTAGAATGAAGCTAATGCTAATCATCGTTTACTAGTGTTGTTTTCAGAATCAAGTAACTACATATATAGAGAGTATGTATAACATATATATAACATATATATAACATATCTATGTATATAAAAGCCTAAGCGACCAAACGACCAGTCGACTGGTCGCTATGATGTGCACTGACCACTAGGGGGCAGATGTTCAATGCAGGAGCTGCCCCCTGGTGGTCAGTGTGCTGCTCCCATAAACCTCCCGCTGTCGGCTGACCTCCCGTGGCCCCTCGCCTCAGACAGCCAGCCCCGATGGCCCCAATCAGAACCTCCCACAGCCCCTCCCCCTGGCCAACCTCCAGCAGCCCCAATCGGCCCCCATCGCCAGTCAGGCCAGGGGACCCAACCTGTGCACGAATTTATGCACTGGGCCTCTAGTATATGATAAAATACTATGTAAAAAAGCATCTTGCACAAAGTACTCAATAAATGTCAATCACTGTTATTATTGTTGTTACTATTATTATTAAAGTACATTTTTGGTCATATTATTTCAGTTTGAAATGGATCAGATCCATGCTCTTTGGGTTTGTTAGGCCAAGGATTGAAATACAAAGCTCCGAATGGATGGAAGTATGGAAAAAGCCCTAGCTGGTGTGCTCAGTGGTTAGAGTGTTGGCCCTTGCATTGGAGGTTCATGGGTTCGATTCCTGGTCAAGGGCATGTGCCTGAGTTGCAGGTTCAATCCCCGGCCCCAGTCAGGGCATGTGCATGAGGCAACCAATCCATGTGTCTCTCTCACATTAATGTTTCTCCTCTCCTCTTCTCTCCACTCCCCTCCTCTCCTGTCTCCTCCCCTCCCCTCCCCTCCCCTCTCCTCTTCCCTTTCCTTCCCTTCACTTTCCTTCTCTTCTCTTCTCTTCTCTTCTCTTCTCTTCTCTTCTCTTCTCTTCTCTTCTCTTCTCTTCTCTTCTCTTCTCTTCTCTTCCCTTCCCTTCCCCTTCTCTTCTCTTCTCTTTCTCTTCCTACCTCTCCCTACTGCTCTCTCCCTTCCTCTCTCTCTGGAAATCAATGGAAAAATTACCCTTGGGTGAGGATTAACAACAACAAAAATATGAATGAAGACAAGTGGTATTATAACTGAAGTAAGACTAAAAATCTATGTCAGCCTCAGGTTTAAATTCCTTGTTGATTAGGGACCAAGGCTCACTCCTGGTGAGCTGAGTCCCAACAGCCCTATAAAGCATGGCCAGAAGGGCAGGTAGGTACATGCTGACTAGCACATGGGAAAAGTAGCTCTGACTTTTTTAACCATGAGGGACACTGAAAAACTACTCCCTAAATATCTAAAATGATACAAAACATGCTTCTGTGCTAATGATGGCCAGTTACCAGTGAAAGGAAAGGAAAAATACAGAGGAATTTGGAGGCAGTGGTAGAGGCCTAAGTAAAGGCAGAAAAAAAACATGGAAAAATTTAGAGAAATTCCCACAGAAACACGCATAAGGAGATTTAAACTTCATATGGAGACATAGACTTTGATGTGGTTATCTTCTCATTTTGTGGCCTTTACATGGGCTCTTCAGGTACTTTTGTCTAAATTCTGCCCCTAGTCTTATGCCTCATATATCCTTACCCTATCATAAACCTTTCTCACAACCATTCTTTCTACATCTTCCTTTTGGTCCCAGTTTGCTCTCTCTCTCTCTCTCTCTCTCTCTCTCTGTCTCTCTCTCTCTCTCTCTCTCTCTCTCATTTGTTTATTATCCATTTGCATTCCTCTACTGTGAAAACTTCATTAAACATTGTAGTCATAAGAGCTTAAAATTTTCTATTCCTTCAGTGAACATCTTCAGCACTTAATTTCAGTTTACCCACCTAGAGCCATCTGCTGGTTTTATCACTAGCTGTAGTTTTCAAGTGACTGGATTATGAGTTTTAGGCTTTATTGGAACTTTTTTTGAGAAGATGGTATGTCTTATACCCAACATCTGAGCACTAAAACAGTATGATGATTTATATAATATTACCTTGATCATATAAAAAGGCTAGTGATAAGTGATAAGACCTATATCAGTGTAGTAATAGGCAGATATTCCCAGCATACTTTGATACATCCTATATAATAAAACCCTAATATACAAATCAACCGAATGGCAGAACAACCTGTGGAACGACTGGTCGCTATGACAAGCACTGACCACCAGGATGCAGATGTTCAATGTAGGAGCTGCCCCCTGGTGGTCAGTGTGTTCTCACACGGGGAGCACTGCTTAGCCAGAAGTCAGGCTTATGGCTGGCAAGCACAGTGGCAGTGGCAGGAGCCTCACTCACCTCTGCTGCAGGTGGGTGGTAAGGAGTGAGGGGTCCCGTACTCCGAGAGCCCCAGACGGAGAGAGGGATGTCTGACTGCCCCTAAGCCGGCAGGCGGACATCCCCTGAGGGGTCCCGGGATGCGAAAGGGCCCAGGCTGGGCTGAGGGACCCCCAGTGCATGAATTTTGTGCACTGGGCCTCTAGTTTGTCTATAAAATCATGAAAGCATATAGGGGGATTGGTAGAAGGCAAATGTTAATCTTTGGAGAGGCAGACACCATGGTTAATGGGCAAGTTTATTTCAAAGAAGAAAAATGATGGACTATGCCTTGCTTCCGTATTAGAGCAGATGTGGCCTATTCAACAGCTCATTTGATGCTTTTGAAGGGTACTTTGTGGTTTAAGGACTTTTTATGTTGCGTATTTTTTTTCTGGTTAGCTACAGATATCTTAGTGCCTAAACTGTGCCAGGAATTTATATTCAAGAAACTAAGCTACATGTGCAGAAAATAAATATAATTAGGATTGTTAATAATTTATTTTCATTGTGTGTGTGCATGTGTATGTTCATGTGCATCTACTTTTCCCTCACCTCTCTCCCAGAATTCATTTGTGAGTGAAAACTAGTTAAGTGACTTGGAGTTATAGGAAGTTAAAGACTAAAAGAAGTTATTATCATAGGAGCTATACCAAAGGGAATAGAGAATATGCACCAGTACTATGACACAAATAATTAAGACCTAACTGGGAATGTTTTGAAGAAAACCAATATAGAATTCTTAAATAATGTACTGAAAAGTAAGTTCATGTGATTTTACCAAAACATAATTATTTAAAATCAACATTCTGTGAAATAGGTGAAAATCTTTAGACCATATATCAATATTTAATATATTTTGTGAACAGGAATCATAGGTTTAAAAATTATTAAATGCTCTATCAGAGCTAGTCCTCTGATTTCAAACAGCATACTAATAGGTAATTTCTTAGGAAATGTGGTTCTACTCATATTTTCTGTCATTATGTACATCTTTTATATGTGACCCAACTATTCACTCAACTCAATTTCATATTTGTAAGTTTTCATAGCTCACCTCAAGGACAGATTCTTGGCAGTTTAAATGCTATTGATGACTAATGATTATGCAATTAACATAAAGTTTAGCTTCAGTAATATTATCTTAATGCTATTTGGATGATTTAATTTGTTTAAAACTGAACAGCTACTTTTTAAACTTTCATACAAATATTATTTTGGAATGTTTAAACCAAGCAAAAATAATATTTTTTAAACCTAGGGAGAATTCATTTTATGCAAAATTTTACAATATTGTCTATTTAATTATCCCCACTAGAAAGAGAAATAACAGACTATTTCTTATCTTACAGATTAGCTCAGTGAAAATGTTGCGGCCTCGTCTCAATAGCATTCTTTTCAAGCTCACTTTTGAAGAACATGTAAACAACATCAAACCAAGCATCATAGCAGTAACTCTTGCTTGTGAAGAACTGAAGAAAAGTGAAAGCTTTAACAGACTTTTAGAGTTAGTTCTTTTGGTTGGAAACTACATGAACTCAGGCTCAAGAAATGCCCAGTCCTTGGGTTTTAAGATCAACTTCCTTTGTAAGGTAAGATAACATTTTTATTTATTACACTTTAGAATGCTAATTTACAAGTCTCCTCTATGAGGGGTCATTCTGAATAGCAGTAGTAAACAATCCAAAACATGTATGTTTTAAAAAGGGTGAATTTTATGATATGTGAATTATATATCAATTAAAACAGATAAATAGCCCTCGCTGGTTTGGCTCAGTGGCTAGAGCGTTGGCCTGCCCACTGAAGGGTCCCAGGTTTGATTCTGGTCTAGGGCACATGCCCGGGTTATGGGCTCGATCCCCAATAGGGAGTGTGCAGGAGGCAACCAATCGGTGATTCTCTCTCCTCATTGATGTTTCTATCTTTCCCTCTCCCTTCCTCTCTGAAATCAATAAAAATATAAGAAAACAAAACAAAAAACAGATAGTCTGGCCGGTGTTGCTCAGTGGTTGAGCATTGACCTATGAACCAGGAGATCATGGTTCGAATCCCGATCAGGGCTCATGGGGGCTTGATCCCCAGTTGGGGGGCGTGCAGGAAGCAGCTGATTGGTGAATCTCTCTCATCATTGATATTTCTATTTCTTTCTCCCTCTCCTCTCCTCTCTGAAATCAATAAATGTATATAT